GATCAAGGCAGCTGGACTCTCTTCTGAAGGCATCAGGTGCAGAAGCAAGAAAAGGCCTCCAGCCCCCTCCCCTGAAGCCAGGAAAGGAAAAGCCCATCTCCCTGCCCAGCCAGTCCCAGTCTCCTCCCCATGCCCAATCCCCCCTCCAGGGTGGATTTGATTTAAATCAGGGTGAGGGTGGAGACAACTCTTCTTACACCTTGGATTAAGACCACAAGAACGGCCACACTGGGTCAGACCAATGGTCCATCTAGCCCAGGACCCTGTCTTCCAACAGTGGCCGGTGCCAGGTGCTTCAGAGGGAATGAAGAGAACAGGGCAGGGATCGAGGGATCCATCCCCTGTCCAGTCCCAGTTAGCAGCAGTCCGGGTTGCTCAGCTTCCCCACCCCCGGCTTTGTGCAGTTTGCACCGTCTCTAACTTCCATTGCTGCTTTCCAGTGTGACGGGCCATTCCTGGGGTTGCTGATGGCCAGATTGCAGGAAGCCAAGTCGTTAAATCTCCATCGCCACATATTGGCCTGGCCTGGCTCTCTTAGTCACCGCATCACACTTCCCAGTCCTCTTTTCTCTAGTACCTGATGTATTATCTTCATCGCACGCTCCACAGTGACTCCATGGAAGTGTCCCCAGTACAGAGCTCCCCCTCCCTTAGCTCCAGGGCTCACACTCACCGTGGCAACGGACGGCTGGATCGGTGAACTTCATGGCCCCCGAAGTGGATACGAACCCAGGTCGGCAGGTGCAGTAGTAGCCCTGGACAGCGTTGGTGCACGTTGCGTGATCAGGGCACAGCATTGGATCGTCGCACCTGTTCACTGGGAAATGAAGAAGGAACCAGGGCTGGACATTGAATTAAAACGCAGCCCTGTTTAGCTGCCAGCGGAGAAGGTGGCTTTGTGGCAAGCGGGGACACAGCGCAAGAGAGCAGAAGGGAATGAAAAAGAAGAAAGAGGAAAAATACACAGAAACGTGGGGAACGGGGAGGAGGAAATGGGATGAAAAGTTCTTTGCCCGTTCAAAGCCCCCCTCCAGCTGCAGGACACACCGGGGTTCAGATCTGGAGATTTTGTCCAGGTTTCTAGGCATCAACTTACGAGCGCTGGAGAAATGCTGAGTCCCCTTGAAGCAGACGAGCCAGCAAAAGCCTGAAAGAGGAGAAACAACCCAGGATTGGTATTGCACTGGGGTTTAATACAGTTACCCTGTAGGAGGCTGGGTGGCCTAGTGGGTAGAGCAGTAGGTCTCGGGGGAGGGTGGTTGTTTGGTTCTACTCCTGGCTCTGTTGGTTGACCTCAGCCAAGTCGCTCCTCCTCTCTGTTTCCCCTGGATCCGGCTTTCCCAGTTTGATTATAAACTCTCAGATCAGCCTTGGTGTCCACACATCTGATCATGGCTGAGACCCCTTAGCACTACCGGAACGTAACCTATCAGAGTAACACGTTTTCAACGGGCCAGATCCCCAGGTACTGAACTCAGGAACCAATCCCCAGGAGGGGTAAATCAGCGTGGCACTCCTGACTGCCGTGAGCAGCTGAGGGTCTGACCCTCACCCCCAGCAGGAGTTTAGCCTGAGTGGGCACCAAGGAAGGATACACGAGATCAGCTCATTCTGTGGGCCCCTTCACGAGAGAGAAGTTCTCAGGCACTCACTCCTCCCACGGCCCCAGTGTCCCCACTGCGTGGCGATCTGTCTATTTCTCTGTAAGCTAGAAAGCGGTGAGCGCTAACCAAGTCCAGGGACAGCTGAGCCCCCAGAGGTTCAGAAACGCGTCTTGGCTGGGACAACCAGAAGCCCGGCGGCTCGGTCTAACCCCCTCTGGAGCTGTGAAGGCAGGTGGAAATCTCAGAAGATTCCTGCTGTCACTTGTACTGGAGCTGCGCCCGCACAGAGGGATTCTTTTGAGGCTTCCCCTCATTTCCCCCAGCTCCCGCCAGTCGCTTACGAAGGAACAAAGGGCCGTGCCAGGCACAATATGAGCAGAGGAGCTTGGCATTTGCAGCCCAGCCCGCTGCGGCCGGTTACACGAGGCAGTTTCCATTTTGGATCCAACAAGGGGGCTGGAAGTTTCAGGCTAGAAAATACAAGAAGGTTTTTTTAACTGGCAGAGGAGGGAGGTTCTGGATCAGCCTCCCAATGGGACTAGTGGGGGCAAACTACTTCTGTTAGTCTTAAAGGTGCCACAGGACCCTCTGTTGCAGCCTACCTGGGTGTAAGGTGGAGTTGGATACATTTATGCACAGGGATATATGGCAGGATTGTGTGTGGTAGCGAGGGACTGTACCACTGCAAACCATCCCTTCTCCTGACCCAAGGGGTTCCCTTGACTTCCCATCACTTCCCCCAGACCTCCTGCTCCTTGCAATTCTCCAGCCCGCCCCAGCTGAACCATTCGCTGGGTTTTATAAACACCTGATCCCCAGCTGATCAGTCTCAGGTGAGGCTGGGCCCCGCCGCCCCCCAATTCTCCCCTCTCCCATCTTTATCTTCTACAAACAGTTTGAATCTAGGCCTGTTTGCTCGGAAAGCTCCGACCTCTCTCACACCTGGGTGTCAGGCACCCCCTTGCTTCCCCCACCCTCGGTTTTGTGGAGCGAATCTTTGCGGAGACAAAACGCAGAGCGGAAATTGGGTGGGCCCCCGTTCGTGGGGGCTGGGCAATGACCAGAGGTCTGACGTCACAGCAAATCCTTTATGCTGCATGTTACTGTGTGACTGCGTGTTAGATTTGATTGCTGGGGGCAGGATTGGAAGGGGGAGTGCGGGGAGCCGGGGGCTGGGCTGGCCAGTGGAGTGGGTCAAGTCCCACAACCCCACAGGCAGGCACGGATTAACCCGGAGGGCCAATTGGCACCTGTGTGGGGGCAGAGGCTGGCCGGGCTGCACCGCTCTCTGCTGCACGTGATGTTCCTCAGACAGGCCAAGAGTCTTCAGCCAGGAGCTCCTAATCCACACCCATGCCGCTCTCACCTTCTGCATTCGCAGGCTCAGATCTGGGTGGGCCGAGGTGCTAACTGGGTGGGGCGGAGCCCACCTCTGGCTACGCCCCAGACCGGACTGGGTGACCTGGGAGGTCCCTTCCAGTCCTGTGTCCTGAGGCGGCCTCACTGACTCGACCTTCCATTCATTAACTGGCTGCTCCAAGTAGCATCGTAAGTCACCACGAGGCTCTGTGGGCTCGTGGGCTCTCGGGTGCCTGTCTACAGTGGCGGCACTGAGACGAACAGGGGTCTTGCAGTTAAGGCTCAGGGGCCCAGCTCAACAAAGACGCTCAGGTGCTACTGTGATCCACAAACGCCTGCTTGGCTACGCTCGGCACCCAGGACGGATGACACTCCCAGCAGGTGCTCAGGTGAGACTGGTGATTTGCTTGTGCCCATTAACAAACCCCCTACGCCTAGAAAGCCATGAACACAACCCCTCCCGCTTGTGCCAGTCTTACCTTGTCCCCCTGCCCCACCCTTCCGCTCAGTTCCCTTTACCCACTTCTTCTTCAGCTAAGGCCCCGATCCTCCAATGATCTTCACCCAAGCAGCCCCCCATAACTGTTAAAGGCGGGGGGATGCTGGGATTAATCAGGGCTTAAAGAGACTAAGCATTTTAGGGCAGGAAGTGTCTTTTGCTATTTAGCTACACACACACCTAGCTGTGACATACCAGGGCCATGACAATAACCTTAATAATGTGTCGATTAACAACAGCCACCCAGGGCTGGCTCCAGGCACCAGCACAGGAAGCAGGTGCTTGGGGCGGCCAGAGGAAAGGGGAGGCACGTCCGGGACTTCAGCGGCAGGTCCCTCAGTCCCTCGCGAAGGGGAGGACCGGCTGCTGAATTGCCACCAAAGAATGAAGCAACATGGTAGAGCAGCCACCGAAGTGCCGCCAATCGCGGCTTTATTTTTTTTCTCTTCGCCACTTGGGGCGGCGAAAAAGCTGGAGCCGGCCCTGCGGCCACCCACGAGCAATCATTCATAATCGACGTGCAACAATTAATAACAAACCACTAATAATCAAGTCCACACTCTACAAACACCAATGGATCCTTCATGATTAGCCATCTGTGATTAATAATAAAAACACCCCAGGGACACCCAGCGTGGCCAGCCACTGGTGTATTCATAGATTTGGAGGCAACTGTGAACATCTAGTCTGACTTCCTGTGTGATATGTGCTATAGAACTTCCCTGAATTAATTCTTGTTTGAACAAGAGCAGATCGTTTAGAAAAACATCCAACCTTGATTTAAAGCTTTCTAGTGCTGGAGAATCTACCATGACCCTGGGTAGGTGGCCCCGTTGGTTAATTGCCCTCACTGTTAAAATGTGTACCTTATTGCCAGGATGAATTTGTCTAGCTTCAACTTCCAGCCACTGGATCTTGTTAGACATTTGTCCGCTAGACTGAAAAGCCCATGCTCAAATATTTATTTCCCATGTAGGTACTTATAGACTGGGATCAGGTCACCCTTTAACCTTCTCTTTGTTAAGCTAAATAGATCGAGCTCCTGAGTCTTTCACTACAAGGCAAGTTTTCCAAACCTTTAATCGTCTCATGGCTCTTCTCCGAACCATCTCCAATTTTTTCGACATCCTTCTTGAATTGTGGACCCCAAAACTGGACAAAGAATTCCAGCAAGGGTCACACCAGAGCCAAATACAGAGTAAAATAATAACCTCTCTCTCCAACTTGAGATTCCCCTGTTCATGCATCCCAGTACCACATTAGCCCTTTTAGTCACAGGGTCACACTGAGACCTCACGTTCAGCTGATTATCCACCATGACCCCCAAGTCTCTGTCTGAGTCCCTGCTTCTCAGGAGGGAGCCCCCCATGCTGTAAGTATGGCCAACTTTCTGTTTGATTGCACCCAGCTTACCGAGGGATCCAGATTTCTCTGTATCCCTGACCCGTCCTCTTCCTTATTACCACTTCCCCAATCTGCGTGCCTTCTGCAGACTTTCTCAGTAACGATTCTACGTGTTTCTCCGGGTCATTGATCAAATAAACATTTATATGAAAAGTCTCAGATCTGGGCTGAACGCCCATCACTGAAAGACCCTACGACCCCTCAAAGATCCCAACACAATGACAATTATTGTTGCCCCTTTGCAACCCGAGCGGCTGGTCATAGTTCTGGGCCCTGGGAGCAGAAACTGATGCTGGACTCTGGTATTTCCTTTGTTCCAATCTGGTTTAGTTACAAGTCCTGCTTCTCCAAATGCAGGAGGGACCAAAAACCGGAGATAGCTTCTTTTCTTAAAAAAACAAAAAACAAAACAGGAGTCCTTGTGGCACCGTAGAGACTAACAAATGTATTTCGGCATAAGCTTTCGTGGGCTAAAACACACTTCATCAGATGTTTTAGCCCACGAAAGCTTATGCCCAAATAAATGTGTTAGTGTCTAAGGTGCCACAAGGACTCCTCGTTGTTTTTTGCTGATACAGACTAACACGGCTACCCCTCTGAAACCTTCTTTTCTTACAGTCCCAAGCCTCTTTAGCCAGCACCAAACTCAAAAGCTGTCTCTGGTCTTCTCCCTGGGCCATACCCCAGTTTACCATGGCGCCAGGCCCACAATCAGAAGGGGCCCTGGCCTGGCCAGCCCGATCCCCCAGCCGGCTGGGCCGGCCAGGAAAGCTGCCCCCGCCCCTGCTGCACCCCACCCCCACTCCAGCCCTTCCCCCGAGGATGGTAAGTGGAGGAGCGACCCGGCCCCAGTCCCCTCCACGCTGCTGGTGAGTGCTGGGGAGCAGTTCCCCCCTCTCTGCCCCCCCCCAGTGCCAAGGCTGGGAGTCAGGGGAGCACAGCCGAGTGGGCTGGGGTCAGGTCGCTCCACTTCCCGTCGCCCTGTTAGTGCGGGGTCAGTCCCACCCTGCAATCACCGGGAAGCAGGAAGTGGAGCAACCCGTCCCCAGCCTGCTCCGCTCTGCTTCACCAGCTCAGAGTCATGCTGGGGGGTGGTTTCCCCCCCGTCCCCCCAAGCCTGGAGAGGAGATGGAGCAGTGGGGAAGAGAAGGGGACGGGGGAAGTGGGGGCAGGGGGAAGGAAGGGGGTTG